ATATTCATAATTATCTCATCGATAATATCGTTTATGTATATGCATATATATATATATATAGAATATTTGAAATATTGTTCCGATTTTTATAATTAAAAATTGATTATAATTTTATATAATTTCATCTACATACATACAATAGAATATAATATATATGTTATCGATATAAATGATAGAGGAAAAAATAATGTTTCTTAAATATCATACAATATTATATATATCACATATTACGTAATATTAGATATATTATATATATGTGTATTCAAATAAATGTTTAATAAAAAAGCACAAATGCATTTGCTTAAAATACATAATAGTTTTCAAGGGCAAGGTCATGAATGTGACCATCTCATAAAAGTATATTCTGCGATGATATATCTCTCTTTAAAATAGGTGTTAAGATAACATAATACATGTACTTTTAAGTATATAATACTATCTCTTTTGATTTCTTAACAAATATTCTAGAGTATAAAATTAGATACACATATACAGGGTACATTATACACATAGAAAGAGAGAAAAAAAAAGAAAGATATATGCAAACGACTGGAAACGTACACTTGGCAAAACTCAACATGTTCGTTCGTTCGTTCGTTCGTTCGTTCGTTCGTTCGTTCGTAGATACGTTTTAAGTATCGAAAAGACTTTATCACTGATAAGGATATCCTTATCGTCGTGCGCGAGCAAAAGATAAGATGCACGAGGTGTATACTATACGCACTAATACGAGTCTCACATAAATCCGTCTGTTCTCTCCTCATCGTTCTTCTCTATTTTTATTCATTAATAATTATCAACTAAACCCCTTATCGATCTATCAAAAAGAACATAAACGAAAATCATGGGAAAAGAAAAAAAAAAGAAAAGAAAATAAACAATTTCATACCGAGAAAGAGAGAGAGAAAAAAGAAAGAGAGATACTCTCTCTAATTAATACAAAAAATAAATCTTCTTAAATATTTAACAATATAAAATCAACGTACATACACACAAATAATACTTCAATACTTAAGCAATTATTAATGTAATATAATTTATCAATAATTATAATTAATGAATTATTATATAAACGAATTAATTAAACAATCATAAACCGCTTTTTACGAAAATATCATCCAAACGTCGAAGATTTATAAATTAATTGTTAAACAGAAGATATAGAAAACGACTAATCAAAGTGAATAGGTCTACTACTTGCAGGACGCGTTTTAAGGAAAAGGATATTCTCGAGAATGGAATAAAGATCTGATTACCGATCCTTATCATCCTTGAACATCGGAATTCTTAACGAGCTTCCGATCGGTCGCTCCCTATTAAATGGGAATCGTCCTTTCTCTGTTTACATCTTGTTATCCTTTCTTCAACCTTTCCCCACCTTTCCTACCCTTTTCTCGTTTCTTTTTAATCGTTCACTCATTTGCTATCTCCGTTCATCCTCTCTCTTTCTCTCTCTCTCACAATAATCGTGAAAAGGTCGTCTTCGCATGGACGAATTAGTCGATTAGAGAAACATGCACCTGTCTCGTTTTAAATATTCAACCCTGCCCCTACCCTTCCCCCACCACCTCCCCACTTCTCTCTTTCCATCTAACTTCCCTGCTTGCTTGCGTCTTCTTCGCATGTAGGTGTGCATACGTGAGTGCATAAATATAAACAGGTGCTTTTAATTTATGAACCTTAGACGGAATATCTCGATCAAGAATTCTTCTTCTTCCACCAAATTTATTTTTTTCTACTTTCCCTTTTCCATTTTCCCTTTTCTTCACCCTTCCGTCACATGTTTTGTTTTCTTTTTCTTTTTTTTTCTTTTTTATTATTATTATTTTGTTTTCGTTCGGTGCTTTCTTAATACTCGTTTTCTTTTTCTTCTCATGTTGATTTTCTCGTTCTGTTTTTTCTTATTCTTTCTTACATTAGAAGCGTTGGCCGATGATATACGCGTCGTTAGGAACAGAGAACGTCGATTTGATCGTCGTATTTCCACGTCTTTCCACGAGCTTCCGACTTCGAAGCCGAAGGTGAATCGCGCGTGTAAACAAGGTCTATTCTAGTGTGTATATATACATACACGAAGATATCGTACTTACTCGACGCACCAACATTATTCGCGACATGACCCGACTTCTTACGACTGTATAACTATTACTATATACTATATATTTACATATATATATATATAATATATATGTATATATGTAATAAAATATTTATAAAAATATATGATACACTGTATACTGTACATTGTATATAACAAATATTCTATACTATTTACAGTATTTAATATATTATATATATACCATGTATTTGTATACTCTACTTACTGTATAATATATTTAGTATATAATATGATATACTGAATGCTATATATTATACACACAATATATTCTATACTTTATACTTTATATTATACAGTATATCAAAAAAATATTCGTTTAGCCAATAAAGTCCATGAACTTTTTTTATCGAGTTATTTACTGTTAGAAAAAAATCGCACAAAATTATTGGTCAATCTAATATGTATACCAATACATTATATACAAATATTTCTATGCGTATTTCTACGTATATACAAAGCCTATGTATTTTCGAGTCAGTACTCTGAAGTGGCTCAAGTTTTTGCTATTATGTAGCTCGATCTCTCTTGGAGGTCCCCTACAACTAGTGGCGGGAAAACGGGAAGAGAAGTCGTTTCGATGTCTCGAAAACGAGGCCGGAAGTAGAGGAGGAGAAGGAGGAGGAGGAGGAGAAGGACTCTTGGCTTTCGAAGACGCTCGTAAAACGTTGTTCCACGAACGGTCTACTTTTACTTGGCCATTTTCGAGCGGGAAATTTTGTTGGATTTTTAAACCGATCTCTTTTATTTCATCTTAAATAAATAAATAAATAAATAAATAAATAAATAATAATAATAATAATAATAAAATATAAAATAATAATACAATTTATATTTCTTCGAGTATCATATCCTCTCTCTCTCTGTTTGTCTCTTTTTCTTTTTCTTTATTATGAAAGAGCAAGCAAGAATCTTTCCATCTCTCTTTCTCTTCTACCTCCTATATCTGTCTCTGTCTTACTTATATTAGTACGGCAAAGCACGAGGCGCGCTCCCCTCGAGACCGACGTAACGCGGAATGTCGCGGAAAATTCAAAGTATCGCTGATCCGAGGAAGTTAGCTATGAACTTACATCGATGTAGCTTCAAACGAAGTCTTGGATCGCGCTCGAGACGTCCCGTTGACGATCGCCGTTCGACCAACAGAGAATAAAAATGTTGACGGTGAATTTTCTTACCCTCTTGTACGTATAGAAGGTGGCGCGCGAACGAAGCTACGCGAAGCTACCGCTCTGCCGTTGGAAGGCTCCGTCGAGCGTTCAACGAGCGAGAGAGAGAGAGAGAGAAAGAGAGAGAGAATGAGAGAGAGAACACGAGCGATATAGTCGAACTGAGCCGAACGAAGCCGAGCGGTAGCGGGGTGGAGCGAAGCGGCTCGTCGAGGTCTTAGTCGAGCGCTAACGTTCTTAGGCTCTTTGTCGTATACGCCCAACCGTCTCAGGTCCGTATCTACCAACGCGTCAGTTTCTCTGAAAAATATTACCTCAATTTCGGGGGGCCCCGACCAATTATTAATCTTATTCTTTTATTTTATTTTTTTTTATTTCTTTTTATATAATATCATTTTCTTTTCGTCTCCATTTTGTTCTTATTAACGTATAATATATTAAATTTATTTACCCGAGTTTAAGCGAGATGTATATTAACATACAAATAAATTGTAATTTCTTTATTATATTAATATTAAAATGCAAATTTTACTCTCCGAATGTTGAAACGTGGATTCTTTTTTTTTTTCTTTCTTTCTTTTGATTATTTTATTTTCGATTTTCCTTTTGTTTCTTTTTACGTATTGAAAATAATCAATAATGGACTTTAATAAATACAAGAGACTCACTCGCACGTCGAACGCTCGGGATTAAATAATGCACTTCCTTTTACAGAAAATACTGAAAGGTATATAAACAATCGGGGAATATTCAATATTAATTATACAGTTAATTTACGAGGCGTGAATAGAGCTCGGCCATCCGCTTAAACGAAATCTCCCATTCGAACGCGGACAATATGCCGCGTCGTTTGGCATACAATAGAGTTTTATATGTAATTTATTAAAAGCCAAAACTCTCCTGCACGGACGATGGATAATATCGTCGAGTCGTTCGTATTTGTGAAAAAAATGCGTAGTAGTTGGTAGTAATAGTAGTAACAGAAAGTAGTAAAAAGCTTGAACAGGAAAACACCGTCGATCAGCTGAAAACAATGTAAAAAGGGAAAGGATGTTTTTGTATTCCAAAACAATCTTTTTCCTTTTTTTTTTCTTTGATGAAACTGGTATGCACGCGTTAGTCGTTCCACTCGCATCAGGATTTACAACGGGAATATCCTTTAGACGATATAATAAGAGTTATCTCCTATCCTCGGAGGCACGGAGTCTCGAAGCAGTCATTAGAATTTTACAACCTCGATCGATGATAACGGGAGCCCTTTCCGTAGACGTTTCATTCACAAAGAACGTTGATCGATCACGCGGGAGGAGATAATACTTTGTATATGTACGCGCGCACGTGTCTACCTATCGTTTAAAAAGTATTCCCAGAGAGTGAGAGAGAGAAAGAAGGAGAGAGATCTTCGGTGAAAATTTAACGACGATAAGAGAAAAGTAAATGAAATACATGATAAATGATTGCGTGTTTTGTGAGAAAAAAGAAAAAAAATATTTGGGATTAGAGAATGTTGAATGATCTCTCTTGTAGATCAGGATCTTGATAAATATAAGGTAAAATAAAAGGAATAATATTGGATTCGTATGATACTTGCAGAGAGAAGAGTAAATAGATCGAAGAATATACGCAGGGTACGGTATATGGGTAGATACGGTACTGCTCGGTAGTGCAGGTGGGCCGAACATCTACGGAAAGGGACGAAGTCGTACTCGGGGGAAAACCGAGCGGCGGCACTCGGCCGAGGACTGTTTTGCCAGAGTATCTCAGTAATGCTTTGCATGGCCAGCTAGCCGCAACTCGGCAGTCGTGTAGCTGAGACTCGCGTCGTATATTTATCGTTTAACTCGGTGTGGACATCGTGTTGTGTGATATGTATTATTATTATTATTATTACTACTACTACTATATTACGAGATGAGGACGAATAGAGTTGGTGACGAATAAAAGGAGAAATTAAAAGACCGTATATAAAATAATATTGATAGCTGAAACGGGTGAGTTAAAATACACACTGTGTTTCAACGATAAAGAGAGATATATTTTTCGGGCGTGGATCCAATCATTTTCTTCTTCTCGAACGGAGATTCGAACGACTAGAACACAACGACGACAAATAGAACTGAAGAACTCAAGTATAGTGTCTCAACACGTTGATGAGGCAAATAGAAAGTAATTGTTGAAGATATCAAATATAGTCGAGTGTTTAAAGAAAGACAGTGGGACACATTTGTGGTGTTGTTACGTGTGATAAAAGTAAGGATTGATAACTTTATAAAAAGAAGAAGAAGAAGAAGAAGCCGGATCAGTGGACGGACGGCAGCGACTACGCTCGCTGCGGCCCTGGTGGAATCTCGATTCCACCCCAAACGTGTTTCCTCACTTGAGAACCGAGCTACCATCGAGACTAACTGTGTATGGTGCACGAGCGAATCAAGATGCTGTCGTCGGTGCCAGCGAAATAATAATGTGGTGCGACGTTGGTCAGGTGAGTGTCGTGCAAGATCCTGTTCGTTGGTTGGATGATTGAATGATTGCTTGCTTGGTTTCCTCGGATTCTTACACTTTGTTCTCATCATTGTCATTGTCAATCGTAACCACCAACCATGGTCTACGTTCCTACGATATTCTTCTTTCTTTCTTCATGATTTATCGAGTCGTTAGGCAAACGGGAAAAAACAGCAGCGAAAGAGAGAGAGAGAAAGAAAGAAAGAGAAAGAAAGAAAGAGAGAGAGGGAGAGAGAGAGAGAGAGAGGAATTGCGACCGTCGCTGGTCGATCGGCCGACGGCGAGACGAAACGAACTTCCTTCGTATATTCTCGCCATCTTTCCACATAATATATTTCTCAATTTACTTTTCCCCATCGTTTTTCAAATTCTAATATCTTCGCATTAGAAATCTACCGTCGCGTTTTATTCAAAAATACATTAAAATAAATTCAATCGAGAATGAGAAAAAATACCTCGACGACGCCAATATTCGATCACGAAATTTCGATTACAACGATTCTCGTGTTACTCGGAAGAAAAAACCATTCTCTTATCTACCTCCTTTATATAAAACGTATAGAACAAAATATATTTATTTTTAAATCTAATTTCCTAAAACGTAAAAAGAAAGAAAGAAAGAAAGGAAGGAAGGAATGTAGAATCCTCCTGTAGAAAGGCAGAGTAGAAAAGTAATGCAAAGGAATAAATAAGGATTCAGGTAGATTAAAATTGGGTAAGAACTGAGAGCGCGTAAACAGATCGAGTAGTAGTACGTGTGTCAGATTTGACGCGTGGTAACCTCGTGTTCGGTAGTTTGAATTCGAAGCGATCCCGCGTTTCCTTGGCCTGGGGCTGTGGGGTGGTGGCGCGGAGGGTAGGAGAGTTGGATCAGAGAGGTGTAGTACGAAGAGGAAGAGTTGGGTGGAGGTGGACGAATAGCAGGAGAGGAGGGGGCGGGGAGGGGGGAGAGACAGTAGAGAACGGCGACAGCGACGATGACGGCGGCACCGATGATAACGTATAAAAAGAGAGGGGGGTAGCAAAAAGAGAGAAAAAGAGAGAAAGAATCGTGTGTAAGATATATATATGTGTGTGCGTGTGTAAGTTGCGCTCGCGCGTTCGACACGATAGATGTATTTGCGAGGGGTGGTGGGGGGGAATGCGCTGTGAGGTGACTATGGCAGCGACGCTGGGTCGTGGGTCGCCGTTTGCCCGCTAGGTGGGGGTAAAGTAGCGGCGCGTGAGAGAGAAAGAGAGAGAGATAGCTGGAGGCTGGCTCCTCTTCCTCTTCTTCTTCTTTTTATTCTTCTTCTTCTTCTTCTTCTACTTCTTCTTCTTCTTCTTCTTCTTCTTCGTTTTCTTCTTCTTCTTCTTTACTTGGCCACCGGCGCCGTAGAGAAAACGCTCACTCGACTCTCTTCGAGCTCTGCTGGTTCTGCTGGTGTGGTGTTGGTTGATGGTAGAGAGGAGGTGATATGGTACCAGTGGAGGTGGCCAAAGGAGGTGGGCACGTTTATGACCAACCACCGAGGGGGCATCGTAGTCATGGTTACTACGACGACAACAACCCGAATCCTCTCTTTCTCTCTTATTTTCTTTATTTATTTATTTCTTTCTTTCTTTCTTTCTTTCTTTTTATCTTGATCTTTATCTTTCTCTATTTTTTCTTATCTCGCAAGGATGTTTTTTTAGAAAATTGTATACACAATTTTTTTTTATATATCCTACCCGTTTTTGCTCTTTCATCTCTCTCTCTCACACACATACACTTTGGATCGAATGACTAGTTTTTGCATATATTTCATATTGTTTTCGTATTTCTTCTCTTTTTCTGATAATAATATATTCAATAATATATTTTGAAAGGATGGGTATAAGGTTAGACCAATGTCCAAGATTGAGATATACTAAAGATGTTAAATTTTTTCCGTCGCGTCCAGTTATTGGAAATACAACGTTCGGAAAAAATTCGGTGCTAAACTTACTTCGTTTCATTTATTTTCGACGATCCACCGATGTCGTTCCTTTTTTTTCGTCATCATTCTACTTCTTCAGATTCGATTTTCACTCTTACGTATAATAAAAATAATTCTTTGATCTGATAGAGAGAAAGAAAGAGAGAGAGAGAGAGAAACAAAGAAAAAAGATAATGTTATTTACCAGTAACTATTTCTATCGGTTCTCATCGATTCATTCGATTATCAAAATTATGTTCCTTTGAAGAAAACTTATGTTCCTTTTGCGAAAGTATCAAGTAGTAGGGAAAGAGGGACAGGACGAAATTGATGAAAGTTTCGAAGGATTTATCTGGGTATAGTCATTCGACCATTGCACAAGAAAGAGAGAGAGAGAGAGAGAGAAGTTCTAACAAACTAATACTGCATCCGCTGTTGATCGGAATTGTTCAACGATGGTTCACGAATTACTCGTAGAAATTCGACATGAAGTAAGTTGTTCATTTCTAATAGTACTGGTATTAAGACTAGCAGTACTAGTAATTTGACAATTTCCTCAACGAGATTCATTGTATTCTTATTATCTTGATTTTGGATATTTTTAAATTAATCATTTTGAATAAAAGAAATATGAATTTAGATTATATTGATTAGAAAATAAAATATTTTCCTATCGTAATTCGTCAAAGCGTTTCATCTTTCGACTTTCCGACGGCAGGTGTATCAGAAATGTTAATAGTTTAATATAATTTACTGTACATTTAATTGTACGTATTTTAGGATAATAATAATACTGACAATAAACTATTTGTAAATCAGAAATTTGTCCAAATTTATTTGATGATTTATATATATTTTATAATATAAATCATTCTATTTTTAATTTTTTTCTTCTTAGAAACTTCATTACGTGATTTATTATATAATAGAGAAGTTTAATTGTGATATAAAATAAATCTTAAAACAAATGTTCGCGCAATTTTTTTGTGGCTAACAAAATTGACGCGCATAAAACTTAGCAGAAAAACACTGAACATAATATTTTCTCTTCAATAATTTTCCTACAAAATTTGGCAAAGCTTAACTTCATAGACCCTTATCGAAAAATATATCCTGAAAAAAAATATTTTCGAAAAATACATAGGACCAAAAAAGCGAGAAGTACCCTCATGGGGGGAAAGAGAGAGAAAAATCTCGAAAATGTAACCTATTATAAACGAAAAGTTCTATATATTTACATAAGTTCTCGGGTGACGCAAGTACTTCATCGTTTTGTAGTACGCTCATTGATACACATATGACGCATATGCACACGCATACAACATAAAATCCACTATTATACGCACTGTGCATTTTCGAAAGATAATCGTAAAAAACTATACGTTTAAAAGCAAGCTTTGAACGTGTCGATAAACGTAATTGCAATGGAAAAAACTAAATGTTTAAAGGTTAACGTTTCAAATATTGTATTTCTTCAAGCGCATGAACAAATAAACACGAGAAAGATTAAACAAAGGATAAGAAGGTTGTTGAACGAACGTGAATAGAAAAATAATTGGGAGAGCAAGCAAGCAGTTTATTTGAAACGTGTAAATAATCGGTTTGTTATAGTTCATTTGAAAAGCCTGCTTGAAACGGGTAGGGAGATGTGTTGTCCGTAGAGTTATCGGACGGTATGCGCTGATCTGTCAATAGGCTTCTCCCATTCATAAATTCGGTGCGGGTAGTGCGGCCGCATAGTTTCACCGCGAAAAGCACGTGGCGCCTCGGCCTGTTGGAAAGGCCGCTTCTATCTATCTCTCTCTCTCTTTCTGTTAAACTCCTTCCCCTGTGTCTGTGTTCTCTTGCACGAACCCCTTCGTCCACCTCTTCGTTCACCCCTTCTCCATCGTTGGTCCGTCCCGCAAGTTGCATTTCATTGTAACCATTGATAATGACTAACATCTATCTTTCTCTTTCTATTTCTATCTATAATTAGTGTATAATCATACGATTTATACTCCATTAATATTTAATACCGTGTCCCTTTTTCCTCTTCTTGCATGCATGAGCCCATTCGTCCAGCACATCTTCTCTCAGGTTCATCCAAACTATGCTTTTAACTGCTGCAACTACTGAAAATGATTAACTTTTATCTTTCTATCTTTATCTAACTGATTACTGTGTCTCTTTTCCTCCTCTTGCATGAACCCTTTCTTCGTCTACCCGATGCAACTTGCGTTTTACTGCAAACAGAGAAAACGAACTATAGCATCTATCTATCAATCTTGATCTAAATTCTATCTCTATCTTTCTCTTTGTGTATTAGTGTGTACAAGTAGCGTATAATTGGCACATAAGATTTATCAGTGGAACCAACAATAGCGAGGTAATTCTCCGTTGATGCGTAAAACCTAAGAACGGAATCAAAGCACTTCGTGAGTCGCGATAACGGTACGTGTACATATGTGTTGTAAGTACCTGTAGAAGACATACGCGTAGTCTTTTGGTTGTCGTCGTGTCGTGAAAACAGAAAGAAGAAAAGGCAAGACCACGAGATATCCCGTGGTAACCGTTAGGAATAGCGTAGGTAGCACGCGACACGTGCCTACGCACGCTTTCGGAGTAGAAGAAAGGTGGAGGATATCGATAACACTTAGGCTTCCACACTCTACACTCCCGATGGATTTTTCTAAGAAACTAGAAGGGATAAAGAGAGAGAGAGAGAGAAAGAAAGAAAGAGAAATGGCAGACACTTTGCGGTAGGTTAAGGTTAACGCACACACAATGAAAAGGTTGATCATCGATATACCCACATAAACCGCATAACCTTCCTCACCCTAACCATAATATATTTTTCTTCCTGCTTTTAGAGACCCTGCTGTTGTCCTCTTTTAAGCTTGTATTTGGATAGAGACTAATTTGCGAGTCTTTTTGTATTTTGTAAGTTGATCGTTGTCTATTACCTTGATCTTTTTATTTCTTCTTCATTTTCCTTTTCTCCCCTGCTTATACCGCATAACAAAAGACGAATAATAACACCTGTACCATAACGTTAAGATGA